AGCCTGAGTCAGCGTCCACGCCATGGCAGAGTCTGTCTGGTTTTTCCTATGTACCGTTTTGTTTTGTCTTTGTGTGAGTTTCGTTTGCTTCTACTTTTCTGTGTAGAGTAGAGTTGAGTTTTCTTTGTCTGTATAGGAGCCCAGGTAGTGGAATGGTTAGGCTTTGGGCTTTGATCCACTTGGTCGGCAGTTCAAAACCACCAGCAGTTTCTCAGGGAAATGACTGGCTTTCTGCTCCCGACAAGTTACCGTCTCAGAGACCCACAGGGGGTCACTGGGCCTCGATGGCCGTGAGAGCACAGGTGATGGGGTGGGCGGTGGGGTGTGTGTGAGGGCTGACAACATATATGCTGAAGCAGTAGCCGTCTGTAGTAGCATTCCCTGTGGGCCTCGGTCTCTCCATTTGTAAAATGGGCAGAAGCCGTTCCAATAGTGACAGTGGGGGTGGAAGGAGGCTCTGGTGGAGAACAGTGAGTGGTGACTGATCCTGTCACTGGATCCCAAGCCCCTGGGTTTGGTTTTAGGACTGACGGACACCAGAGACCACGCTCTTGGGAAAACAGAACAAGGCTCTCCCGGCTCCTCAGCCTCCCCGTCCTCAAGTCAAGTGGCCTTTGTGAAGCCAGCAGCTGGCCACCCAAGTGGCATCTCTGGGGCACAAATAGCAGTGGAGAGGGCAAGGACACTGGCTCATTGTCCCGAGGGCTGAGTGACAGCAGCTGTGGGCCACACGGGCTGGTGGGGGGGAGGCCCCTCCTGACCTCTAGCCCTCCTGCCCCCCCACACACACAGTGGGTACCCCTGGACCTGAGAGGAAGCCCCTCACTGACCCCAAACAAACACGGGGTCCACCTCTCCCCAGCACCTTTCCTCCCAGGTCCCTAGAGAATGGTACCTTTGAAGAAGAGATGTGGACTTGGGGGACAGAGCATCCGGGTCCTTGAACACTGAGCCCACTCCCATGCCTAGTGCCTCACCTTGTGGGGGGAAGGGTAGCAGTGGACAGGTTGTCTACTAAGGGCTGACATCTAAGGGCTGAGGGTCTAAAGTTTAGACTTTAAACCCACCCAGCAGAGTTGCGGCAGCAAGTCCTGGTGAACTCACCGGGGCTGTTCAGCTCCCTGGTGCACCATCCCAGGGACGGGCTGGATGGGCTAGGGTTAACAGTACACAGGTGCTTCCCTGTGGGAAGGACCGGTTTCACCAACCCCTCCCGGGCCAGGTGCTACACCTTATTCTGCTTATCCTCACGCCCCCTCGGAGAAAGCAAAACGCTGGCCTGTCCCTTTCACCATCTCATGGGGGCGCCACAGGTAAGCCAACCACCTGCCCAGTGATTGCCAAAGCCAGGCTCGGAGCCCAGGGCCTGCCTGCACCCTCTCAGCAAACCCCAGGCACCGCAGCAGGGAGCCAGGGTGATGCAGGAGATAAAAGGGAAGCGGGTGTGGTTCCTCTGCCCCAGAAAAGGGCTGGCCGCTGTCCCAGGCCAGGGGCCCGTCATTGGTGACCTCCACCAGGCCCCAGCAGCAGAATTCCAGAGCTTCCCCGCCCTGCTTTGCCCAGCAATCCACTTACAAAAGAGAGAGGGGGCAGGGTGAGGCGGATGATTCAGAGTCTGAAGCCGGGAGTTCAGTGAGGGCCATGTAATGACGGTGATTAGAAAATTAATACGGCTGTGTGTGCAGACATTGGCGTGGAGTCCCTGTAGCTGTGGAGTAGTGAATGAACACACGTGCGCGCATGTGTGTACACACACACACTTTAGACTTTTTTAGACTTTCAGTGTGGGCCCCTTGTGAGTAACCCCTAATCAGTTCAGATGGGGTGCCAAGTGCGCCCCCCAGTCAGAAGTGTACCATCGGGGTTCCTCAGGGACGTCGTGGTTTTGCTCTGTGCTGGTCTGGTGCACCCCCTCTTGGCTTGCCCCCATGTGGGTGGATCAGACCGGTCGCTCTCCCGGAACTGTATCTTCGGTGCTGTCCTCTGTAGCGCTGTCCTCGAGGGAGGGGACGTCCTGTCTCCATCTGAGGCCGGCCCTGCAGTCCCCTCTCCCAGCCCTCTTTGGACATCTTGGACAGTTGTTTTGACCCGCCGGGCCCTGCCTTCTTTATCTGTGGAAGGGATAGAAGCAACGCAGAATGGTGTAGCAAGGTGGAAAGGCACTTTGGAGGGGACCTGGGGAAGGGGGTGCTCCCAAGACCCATTCCCTCCAGGGCCCAGGGATTCGTCTAAGGTAGGACAGTCGGGTCCCCAAGGCCAGAGGGAGCCAGGGCACTAGAAAGGGCCTGGGAGGCAGGGAGGCCTGCTTCTCCCAGGTCGGACACGATGAAGGAGCAGGAAGAGTGTCTCAAAGCCTCCATCTCGTCTCTACTTGTTCCTCTGTGAAATGGGGTGAGGTCTTTTGAAACCACATCTCCGGGACAGGTGGTGGTGGTGGTGGGGGTGGTCTTTTGAACCAGGCAAAGACCATGGATGCAGAGACCAGCCGGGAACCATCGAGAACAGGACATCAGTGGGTGGCTGCACACCTGGGCCCACCAGGCCCACCAAGTGCCCCCTGTGAGGCTGGCACAGGACCAGGCAGTGCTTCCTCTGCGTCCACCCGAGCTGCTGAGTTCCCTGGCTCACAGGGCCTCACCACAACAATAGTGGAGGGACAGGTCGATCACCAACTCTCTCTTCTGCATCCCCTGACCACCTCAGACCCCCTGGGCTTTGGATCAGCAGTCCAGCATAAGCCTTGGCCTCACCCAAGCGGCTTCTATCTGTCACCCTTCACGCTCCTGGCAAATCAGGAGGGCAGGCTGGGCAAATGGCAGCACCTAGCCCCAGCGAGGCCCAAGGCCGTGTCCTGAAAGGCGGCGAGGATGGGATTTAAAGCCAGGACTCTCAGTGACTTCTTTCCACTGTGTCCCTGTGCCGGTGGTGGGGGGGCTGGCGCAGGTGGGGGTGGGGGTGCAGTGAGAGGACAGCCCACCTGCAGAGAGGGCAGGGCCAAGTAGGGGAGCCAGGCAGTTCTATGACTGACGACAACCCTACTGTGAGCACTGGGGGGTCTGGCATGTTGGGGGGGCTGTGTTAGTCCGGGTAGACTAGAGAAACAAATCCAGGGAGACTCATATGTGTATAAGAGTTTTATATACAAGAGTAATTGAACATTGAGAAAACATCCCAGCCCAATTCAGAGTAACTCCATAAGTCCTATATTAGCCCATATGTCTGATACCAATTTATAAAGTCCTCTTCAGACTCATGCAACACATGCAATGATGCCCAATGCAGGAAGATCACAGGCCAGGGGGTGGAAGTCTTGTGGATCCAGTGGCATTGTAAGCATCTCAGCGCTGGCAGGGGTCTCTACGTGGCTTCTCCGGCCCCCAGGACACGGGGGTCTATCAGCGTAGCGCCATGTGTCTTGTCAGTCGAGTGTTGTCATAGGGAGTGAGCAGAGAGAGAGAAGTGTCTCCCGCCTCCAAAGAGGAAATACAGGGGTTCCCAGAATTCTCAGGAGAAGGCCACGCCCACACAGAGGCCTCATAGGTTATATCTTGATGGACAGGCCAGACTCCACCCCTTCACTCATAATCCTCTCAAATTGACACCAGACTATGTAATGACCACAGGGGCCTATCTGGGAAGACACGGGCGGGAACAGACATGGCAGGCAGAGGACAGAGTCCAGGGACTGCCTGCCTTCTGGAATTGTGGGAACAGAGGAAGGGTGGTGGCGGGTGGCCAGGCTGCAGCAGTCTGCAAGGCCCTGCACCCAGAGCCTTGAGGTTGCACCCAGGGGGGTGGCTTCTGGGTCTGAGTTGTCGGGGTAGCTGCTGTGTCCACCTTCCTCCTCAAGGGCCTTCCTCTTTCCCACTGCCTGAGCCAAGACAAGTCACCGGAGCGGTTGTCTGCAGCACCTGGGTCTCGCTCCGAGTCAGAATCGACCAGACAAGAACGGGTTTTATTTCTGTTAGAGAGATAGACACGCTCCGGGACTCAATGGACGCAAAGCAGCCACAGGGAACCAGGGGTACCCTCCCCAACTCCCCCCAGCCCAGGGACATCTCCTTCCAGCCCTCTGACAAGACCCAGAGTTCGCCCTGTGCTTTCTACAGACTCTTGGCTCCCCTCCCCACCCCTCTCTGCCCCACCTGGCTCCAGGTGTCCCTATGCCCTGCTAGCTTCCGGTGAGATCCAGAGTTCATGACAACCCACTAATGAGGGCGCCGTTGCCAGCAGCTGCATACCTGCTGGGCACTGCCCACCTCGCCCTGCTCGGACGGGGCCCTCAGGGCCTCAGCTCTACTTAGACTTAGAGGGAGGCCAGGTGAGGCCAGCCCCCAGGTGGAGGTGGCCTGGGAGTCCCGAGATGCACTCCACTTCTGCTGGTCTTCCCAAAGGTCCCAGACCGAAAGCGGGGTGGGTGGGGTGGGTGAGGCAGCCACGGTAAGCAGACAGCATTTACATAGCTTTTGTTTACAAAGCCACTTTCTCAGGCCCTGGGTGGCTGGGCCAGGCCCATGTGGGAGGAAAACAAGGAGTACTGATTCAGGGAGTGCTCCCCACCCCCACCAGCTGGTCCTTCTCCTGTGCTTTCCCCTAGGGCTGTCTACCGCCCCAAAGGCAGTGGATGACAACAGGCTGGGACCCCCTGCACCGCCTTCCCCAGCCTGCCCCGCTGTGGGTACCCTGGGAGCCTCTTTGCTGGGGTGGTGGGCTGGTGGTGGTGCTTGCCTGCAGTGGTACCTGCAGGTGTGAAGTCGGAACCGAGGGTTGGTCACGTGTGCGCCTGTACGCAGGCGCGGTGTGTGCCGGATCTACTGGAGATAAGCCGGGACAGGGGGTGGGTAGCTGCATGGGGACGCAGTGTGGGGGTGAGGAGCCTGCAGTTGCATCATGGGTGGGGTGTGAGGCAGCCCGGGTCACCCTGAGACTGGCTTGCAGGCAGAGGCCCCAGGGGCAGGCTGTACCGGGCTCACAGGAGTGGCCTGAGCTGCGGGCGGAAGATGCAGGAGCTCATTGCCAGCCTAGAGGGGTTCTCCTTCGCCTTTGAAGAGGATGTGCGGGCACAGAGGGGCACCGGGCTCCTGCCCTTCCAGGGCATGGACAGTGAGTGGGCACAGGGCCCCGAGGGGTGGTCACTGCTCGGCTGCTCTGCTCACCTGGGGGTTGGGGGAGGGGGTTTGGGCCTGCTGCCTGCAAGGCCAGATTCCGGCCCTTTCTCCTTGGCTCTCGGTCCTCCCTGCTGACATCCCTCCCAGGACTCTGGGAAAATGGGCCTGCCTGGGGACACAGAGGCCCAGAGAGTGGAGGTGGGAGAGAGAGGCCAGGTGCCGTCAGACGGGCCTCTAGGCTGCCCTGGCCGAGGTCCCTCCCGTCTCTTCTGTTTGAGTGTCGGAGTCAGATGTTGAGGTTTGGGGGGTGGTGGTTGGGTTTGGGGATCCAGAGGCCTGAGCCTTGAGGACATCAGGGGGCGGCCTGCTGATAGGGACCCTTCCTTCCCCTTTCCCTCCTGGTCAGAGTCGGGGGCAGCTGTGTGTACTTTCTTCTCCCGAGGGCTCTGTGGGAAAGGTGAGTGGGGTAGGGATGACATGGTGGGCAGAGAAGGGGCGTCCCGCTCAGCTGGGGCTCTGCCTGGCCTGGTGGGGGGTGGGGTACCCAGTTGCACCCGGGACAAGGGATATCCCAGGAAGCGCCAAGGCGCGTGCGGGTGGGTTGGGGCTTGTCTCACTCAGTAGCCTGAGGCACAGCAAGCCATCAGGGGCAGCTGTTCCTCCCTCCCGTCTGTGGCTTGTCCTGTGTGTCTGCAGAGGCCAAGGAAGGGTTCTCGCCTCCCCTCCACATCCTGTTCTTTATCTCCAGGGCACCTCATCCTTTATCCAGGGGAGCTGGGGCCTTGGTCTATGGGGGACTGCTGGTCCCACTCCCACCCCCACACACTTTGGATTGAACAACAGCCTCTTCCTAAGCCCCCTCCCCGTAGGCAGCCCCTCTGGAGGGGCCTGGGGTGCAAATTGACCCGCTTCACTTGATTCATGGTAGCACACACACCATACAATTTGGGGGTCCAGTCACATCAGGAGGCGGTGTGCAGTCACCCCTGCAACCGATTGTAGTACATTTCCTTCTTCCTGTGCTCAGCGTCATTAGCTCCCCATTTCCCCCAACCTCCCCCGCCGTACCCTCAAGGGACCACTCATCCAGTGACTGCCTCTGTAGATTTACCCATCCTGAGTTTTACAGGCAGAAAGTCATACCAGACAACAACAGGGTAAAACAGAAAGGGGGCAAAAAAAAAAAAAAAAAATCGAAAAGAAAGTAGAAAATATAAAAACCTAGAACAAATTTCAAATGAGTCAAAAGGGAGATCAAATGGTAAGGTGTTGCATTTTAACCCAATAACGTCTCTAATCGCCCATTTTCCAATGCAGGGCTCATCACATCCCTGGTCTGTGGTCAGAGGGGATTCACGGGAGGCTTAATCCACTTTTTTTTTTTTTTAGCTGAAACAACTTTTAAGTGGGTCAAAAGGGAGATCAAGTGATAAGATACTGCATTTTAACCTAACCACAGCTCCCATAATTGACTTCACAGTGTTCTCTGTGTGATAGCAAGGCCATGCCCATCCCTGGTCTATGGTGGGAGGGGATTCACCAGAGGCTTCATCCACATGTGGACCCTGCAAATGGATTTAGGGCCTCCACTGTTGACCATAGCCGTCTATCAACCAGGTGTTCATAATTTAAGCACCAATACCATTCCCTCCTCCGGATGTGGACTGTATGATCCACAATCCTTGGGTCACACAGGCTGGGGGTGCCTCTTCCATGTGGACTTAGTTGATGCCTCACATGGATGGCTGATTGTTGGAAGACAAGTCTTTCGGACCCCAGACGCTGTTCTTTCTGAAAGTCGGCCCCGGGGCAAATGGGCTCTACATCCTACAAAGTAGCATGTTTTGCTTTGGGACATTGATTGTCCTCTCAAGATCGCAACTTCCCCCTGTGTTTCCCTGGCCAGCTTGATCCTGTCCCTTCCTGCCTCCTGAACTTTGTGCTTGGGCAAGTGTGGCCCTTGTGGGGCTGCTTCTAAGGAGTGGGGACCTCCCTGGTGTTTCCCCTCCCCTCACAGATGTGTCAGTTCTAGGTCTGGACGGTGACTCCGGACCAGAGACTTGGAGGGTCTGCCAGTCCCTTTTCCAAGCATGGGTGCTGGTTTTGCACTGTGAATTGAGGGGGATGGGGACTTTACATTTCAGACCATCAGGGTGGCATTCAACACTTCAAGCGCCTCATCGATATCCCCTCCGGCCTCCCCTCTCCCATGTATTCTATCCCACCCCCCACCCCCCATTCTGATTTCTCTGCTCCCTTGGTGGGTCTCCATCCTCCTTTACATCCAAGTCAGCACCAGTCAACCCTCTAGTCCCGGGGCTGGCAAACTGCGGCCTGAGAATCATGTGCGGCTCTTTGGGTATGCACACGGGGCTCTGAAAACAGAAATGAAGCCATCACAGTTCCATTGATATTCAGATAAGGGTGATGCCATTGGTTTGTGAGAGTGTACTTGTGGCTTTCGAATAATTGTGGCATTACTTCGAGGGACTGGATTGGTTCTTCCGTCTCAGAAGTTTGCTGACCCCTGCTCTAGTCCACTGCTTCATTCCTTCCCTCGCCCCTCCCCGCCTCGGTGACCCCCACGGTCAGTTCCCTTTGCCACACAAGTCTGTGCCTGGATGCTTATCCTTACAGCAGTGGTCTCAGATGACCCAGTCATGTGTCACTCCGCCCAATGCTCTCCAGCTCCGTCCCTGTAGTGAGGGGCTTCGTAGGAGCCCACCCAACAAAAACTCCTAACTCACGGCCATTGGGTCCTGCTGACCCTACCCTTACAGGGTAGACCTGCCCCTTCAAGTCTTCAAGACGGTAGCTCTTGATGGGAGTAGAGAGCCTCATCTTTCTCCCTCATGACACAATGATACAGCATAGGCGTTCTTCACAGCCCCCCCCACCAACCTGGACACACACACACACACACACACACACACACACACACACACACATACACCCCACCCCCCCTCACACCTCCCTCAGGGAAGACTTAGTTGCTCAGAGTCTTGCCTCCAAGGTGGGGGCGCCGGGGTCACCCCAAGACTTCGTTATAGATGTGGGTACAGATCCCTGTGCTAATATTCTAATGTTCAGGAGCTGGCCTGGGGGGCCATGTGCTGCCTTGTTGGGCTGGGGGGTCCTGGAGCCCTGATGGTCCATGCACAGCCTGGTGTTGTCAGTGAGAAGGGAGCTGAGTTTGCCGGACCCCCAGGCTCCCTCAGGGCTCAGCCCGGGGCCCCCTCCAGGGCCCTGGTTCACTGGGCAGCCCCCTAGCAGGGAGCCAGGGTGAGCCCCAGGCATACAACTTCTGTTGTGGAGGGTGGGGCCAGCAGAGCCAGGGCCTGGGGGAGGGGCAGGGGTCTGATCTTCCAGGACAGAGCAGAACAACTCCCAGGGCCTCGGAGCCGGTCTGCGGGGAGCATGGAGCTAGCCCTGGAGAAGGTGCCTGAGGTCGCAGTGGGAGGGTGTGGTGGGTGGGGGAGCAGCCCTGCTGAGCGTGAGGTCTGCAGGTAAGCGCTGCCCCTTCCGGCACGACATGGGGGGCCGGACGGTGGTGTGCAAACACTGGCTTCGGGGCCTGTGCAAGAAGGGCGACCAGTGCAAGTTCCTGCACCAGTACGACACCTCCAGGATGCCGGAGTGCTACTTCTACTCCAAGTTCGGTGAGCACCCCCCAGCCCAGACCCCACACAAAGCAGCCCCTGCGCGCTGTGCACCCTGCCCTCTGCTGCCCCCAAGGCTCGGACCCCCACACCCCCAAGGGAAGGGTGGAGGGAAGCTTGAATCAAAGATCGGTTCCCCCTGGGCTAATTGCACCTCAGACTGTTTAGGAACCCGCACAGTCCACTGAGATCCCCACAGATCCCCTGAGGTTCCCACAGGCCCTGTACCATTGCTGCTTCAAATGCCTTGCTGTGTTGCACTCTTATTTTAGAGGAAGGCTTAAACCTTGCTGCCCTTGTCGGAAGGGAAGGGTGACTGTAAGGGTGCACCCTAGGGTTGAGACAGAGGGGGCTTCTGGGGCTGTGCCTTCCAGGAAACAGACACGTGTCTCCCACGGAGTGGCTGGTGGGTTTGATCCCCCAACCTTGTGGTCAGCAGCCTAGCACTCGCCGGTGCCCCACCCCCGGCCTGCCTGCACTGTTGTCCGCCCTTTGGGAACCGAACTCGGTGAGCAGCCTCCTCCAGTCTCTCCTTGGTCCTTGGAGGAGCCATTTCCGGGTGCAGAGCCACAGAGCGCCCCCTGGTACTGTGGGTTAGCCCTAAGCTGCTAATCGGAAGGTTGGAAGTTCAAGTGCAGCTGGAGGTGGCCAGACAGCGTGGCAGCTGTGGGTGTGTCTGACTGCTAGGTGCTTCTTGGAGCTGGGAGGAGAGTTTAGTCCAGCATTTTTCAAACCGCAACCCCCAAGAGGGGGGGCAGGCGCACAGAGCTGGGGCCTCCCCCCACCCACAGTGATATGAGCTCAGAGGCCTCCAGTGAGTGGTTACAGGCAGGTGCTCAGGGTCCTGGGCTCGTGGGATGAGGCCAGTGAGAACCCTGTGAAGATGCATTTTCCTTGGAGGTTGGGGTCCTTGTGGTTCACAAACTGGCCCTGGGTGGGGTGTCCTTCAAAGGACAAGACCCCCCTCCGCCCTCACAAAGACTCAGCCGCTTCTTCCTCCTGTTAGGGAGCCTGGCTTGGTCTCACCTGACAACAGGTCCAAAGGACATCATTCTTGCTTTATTTTAAAAAAGGAAAGTCCTGGGTTATGGGAGTGGGCAAGGACAGCTGCCATGGAGCTCAGGAGCCCAGGGAACTGGGATCCAAATCAAAGTGACCGCCGCCGAGTTGATGGCTACATAGTGACGAGGTCCGAGACTGTAGGAAGTCTCCTCTTTCTCCCAAGGAGCGCCTGGTGGGGTCAGACTGCTGACCTTGCCGTTAGCAGCCCAACACGTAACCACTGTGCCACGAGGGCCCGTTCCTGGGGCATGTGGTCCAAAAGGGGTACCGGCACCCTAGAGGCACCGCTGGGTAAGCAGTGGACTGGTAACCACAAAATCTGGAGTTGGACAGCCCCCACCCTCACCCCCACCCATCCGCTGCACAGGAGAAAGTTCCAGCTCTCTGCTTCCGCGTAGGTTTACAGCCTTTGAAACCCAAAGTTAGGGTCTGAAAGAATCAGCTCTACCTCTGAAGGAGGGTGGTTTGGGGCTACTCTCCGCTGACTGCAAGGATTGGAAGGTGAGGAGCTGGCTCCACCTGCTGGCCTCGCTGGGAATGCCACCACGTGTAGAAGGGCAACCCCATTGCAGAGGTTCAATGTCCACCTCACTCCAGGGCCCGGTGTCCTTTGAGTTCCCGGAAGGCTCAGGCCCCGGTCAGCACTCTGCTCAGGGCCATTCTCGGGCAGTGCTGTCCCTGGGTGGGCAGTGAGCCCACCCCACCCACCGTGAGGAAGCTGCTGTTTGGGAGATGTCAGGCTGGAAAGAGAGAGTGGGGTCCTCCCCTCTAGATGGGACAGGACTGCCAGGAAGCTCAGGGCCTTGGCTGGAGGGAGACAGGAGTGCTTCAGGGAGCCCTGGGAGGGAGATGGGGAAGGCGCTGAATTATTGACGCTCTTGGAGGAGGGAGCTGGGTCGCATCCCACATCCTGTCCCTGAATGAGCTGAGCTGGCCTCCCCTAGAGCCTGGGTCCCTAACTCCAGGACACCTCTTGGGAGGCCAATGGCCACAGAAGGGTCCTTGGTGGGGAGAAGCTCCACAGGAATTGTGCCCACCCCCCTCACCCTGTTTCCCTCCCTTTCTTTGCCAACAATGAGGTAAGCACCCAGCCTACTGGGAGTTTTCACCAGAGTGGGTGGGTTCTGAGAATCGATGAGTGAGCCCTATTGATGAGCGCACGCACAGCAGCCCCCGCACTGTCAGGCCTCTCCTTGTCCTAGTAGAGGACTAGGGAAAGGCGGAGAGCCGGCTGTAGGACCCAGAAGAACCAGGCCAGCCCGTGGAGTTTGGATTCCTTGTTCTCACTGTATATTTTAACACGCACGCAATCACCAGTCTAGGTCCCAGGTGAGCCTGATGGCAGACGGGGTTAAGCTAACCGCAGGCTGGCCCTGGGAACCCACCGCGCTCCCCAGGCTGAGGCTGGGCCACCCCATACGCAGCAGCTCTCCTCTGTGCCCTGGGGTCGCCCTGAGTTAGACCAGCCTGGGGGCAGTGCACGGGCCTATGGACGTCGTTTGCAGGTGACTGTAACAACAAGGAGTGTCCCTTCCTCCACGTGAAGCCCGCTGCCCGGACCCAGGCCTGCCCCTGGTACGACCAAGGTTTCTGCAAGGATGGTGAGGATTGGGACAGCTCCTGGGGCGCTCAGGCAGGAGACTCCCGGCAGGGGAGGGCAGATTTCTTCCATTGGGACTGGAGGGTCTGCCCCCCCAGGTTGAAATCCCAACAGGCAACCTTTCTGTAGGTGACTGCTCCACCTTGACACTCCCCCGC